GAGTCTCAGTGTGTCTTAATCTGGCTCTGTCAGTGTGCAGCTACAAAAGTAAGAACAGGGGAGGCAGAAAAGTGCCTGCTGTGGCGTTCATCCACAAGGTGATGCTATTAACTTCTCTGATAATTTTCTGCATTGATCAACAGCATCCAGGCAGTTCATTTCCGGCTTTATGGGGCCGGGAGGGGGTTTACCTATTGACGGGGACGGCACAATGCAGTCACACAGCCCCCCTCTCTCCTCCCCTCCTGCTCCTTCCTTCCTTCCCTCTCTCTCCCCCTGTACTGTTGTGACATGCCCTGGCCACATTCCAGCTACAAGCGCTGGCAGTGTAACTTAAAACTTTGGAATTTCTTTAAAAATAAAAAATTGCACTGGGCCGCATTACGAGCTGACCTGGGCCGCATGCGGCCCTCGGGCCGTGGGTTGGACAAGCCTGGTGTAGAGTCTTATAAAACCTGACTTGGTTTAGAGTCTCAGTGTGTCTTAATCTGGCTCTGTCAGTGTGCAGCTACAAAAGTAAGAACAGGGGAGGCAGAAAAGTGCCTGCTGTGGCGTTCATCCACAAGGTGATGCTATTAACTTCTCTGATAATTTTCTGCATTGATCAACAGCATCCAGGCAGTTCATTTACATAGACCTGCATTGTCTTCCACAGCTTTATTAAACTTCCAATGGAAGAAAGAAACTTTTGCCAAGAAGTATCCATTGACATTTAAAATGGTAATGAAACATTTGTCTGCTAGATTTATTTCTGTTTTTGTGTACTTTGAAGGCTCAACTAGCGGAGAAGCAGCTGTAGGTCTGTTCAGTTGTTCATATATTATGAGAAGATGTGCCAACTTAAATGTCTACAATCCAAGGTGGATTTGCTAAGCTTCAGCAATTCTATAATAATGTTCGACAAGCACTTAATACTATCCTTTCAGCTGGTTTGTGTTAAAAGTACTGCCAGCTGCTATCTCTTACGTTCAGGCAGTATTGTGTAAAGCACAAGTTGTCCAAACATAAGTGCAAAACAACAAATTTGCAGAAGGAATTAAAACTGTTTCTGGAACTCTGCATGGTTAGGATTAACTCATCAGACAATATCATGTATTTTTGCTAGGGACTCATCCGTTGTAGAAAGGATTCCAGTTGGCAACATGGACTATGTATATTCATACTTAAATTGCTTTGGTATTCAACAAAAGTCATTGAAGTGTCATTATATCACATGGCCTGGGAGGTTTTTGCTTTCACTCTCTCCTATATCTCTGATTTTTTTGTTACACATTTAAATTTTATTGGATTAAGCCTGTTACAAATATGCAAAACAGATAAGTAAACGCAATATATAGACCAATGGTTTTCAGCTTGGAGCTTCACATGTTGATTTCCCATAACTGCAGCTGCTATGGCCAGCATTCAGGGATTCTCTACATTGTGCTTCCGATTGTTGGGATGATCCCAGTTTAATGTTGTGTGAAAGGGAAAGGAAGAGCCAGCTGGCCTCCCCCTGTTACTATGCCCCAGTCTCTTGCTTTTCTTCCTCATGGTAGGAAGGTGAACCTTTGGGACAGGGGGAGTCCTCTACTTTTCGGGAGCCTCCTCATAAGAAGCAAAGCAGAGCTTCACTTTCCCCACCCACATGGAGAGGGAGAGGGATTGGTGCGGCGAGAAAAAAATGTGTTCACTCTCAGTCTTGTTCTCAGGGAAGGTGAATCTTTGGGACAGGGAGAGTCCTCTACTTTTCGGGAGCCTCTTCGTAAGAAGCAAAGCAGAACTTCACTTTCCCCACCCGCATGGAGAGGGAGAGGGATTGGTGCGGCGAGAAAAAATGTGTTCACTCTCAGTCTCGTTCTCATTGCATGCCTCCTGTCGAAGTGTTGCTGTAAACATAAATAATTAATAGTATAAACGAGGCTCTTAAAAATACATTTAACACCGATCCTCAGTCTAATAAATCTGTTAAATAAGAGCAGCGCCCACCCTTAAATCATTCCTTCAACATGAATATTTGTGCTTTTGATTTGTTTGCTTTCACGTATCGTTTACTGGCGAAAGTCGGTTTTGGAAAAAAGACTGGCTTCTGAGTCCCCCATGAAATGAAATCTCAGGATTCCAGCAGGACTTTTAAAGTGGTAACAATGTGCTATACCTGTGTAGTGTAGACACATACTTTTGTGTATACATAGAGAGAGAGACAATGCAATTTAGATCACATTTCTTTTTAAAGAAAAGAACCTGTAGGTTGGATGCAAAAATCCATTTAGTAATATGTATATTTTAGTCTTCGGTGATAGCTGCTCACTACAAAGGGAAGGGCACCCTGTGTTCTCAGAGACCTGCTTTGCGATTTAAATATTCCAGGACTGAGTTCTGAATTCAAAATACATTTTAAGGGCAAGTTCTGATGTCTGATAAATTAGCTTAAGCCCTGTCACTTATCTGTGACTGAATAAGACTTGACATTATTTTTTTCCTTTCTGTTCCTGCCTTCTAGAATGTGAGTTAGAATCAGTCAAATAATGCTATTCTCAAGCTAATAAGAGAGAATGACATGATTGCAGTGACGGTTTGTTAAAATGGGACATGCTTGTCCATGTTTCATGTGCGGATTCTTCTTTCTACTAACAAACTTTTTTTTATGGCATTGCAAAATCCTGCAGATGTCATGGCAAAGATGCCTTAAAAACCATAGCTAATCAGTCTAGTAATAACTCTTGTTGTTAATCTGTTTGTTAATGGGCAAGTCCGCTTTCTGTTTGTAGATGTTTTCATTACCCCAGGAAATATTTCACCCCAAACACCTGAGGCTAGAAAGCAAGCTACGTCTAACCTAATTGAGAAAATCAATGCAGCAGGGGATATCCTGGCACAGTAGGATTTGTACAGAACTTGATACCAAATCCCGTTACTTCAAAGAATCTGCAGATGTCATTTTCTCTCTTGCTGTTAATTTCAAGGATTTGTGGCAGTGAAATTTGAAATCTTGCTGTGGAAGCAAGAGAAACACTGTTTATTCTTAAGTGGAAATATGGCCCACATGTACAAAATAATTGATGTGACAAATGCCCAAACACAGTCACACCATTTGTAGAAACATAAGGGCCTTGCTGGCTGAAAGCCAAAGCCAGCTAGATGCCTGTGGGAAGCTCAAAAGCAATATGGCGATCGTCAGGGATGGGGAAAGTTACAAGACTACAAATCTCTCTCTCTCTCTCTCTCTCTCACACACACACACACACAGAGAGAGAGAGAGAGAGAGAGAGAGAGTAATCCCACAGTTAGCATGGTTTATGCAGGCAGCATGATTCTGGAAGTTGCAATTGGAAAAAAGGACCTTTGACTGTTTCTGGAAACACATCCTGTTGGTTGTATTCATCAGCAACTAGTATCTAGTAGGATATTGTCTCTAGTACTGGACTTTGTGTGCAGTTATCCTAATTAAGAACTGATGGACTCATAGCTCACTTTTTAGTAAGGGGCAGTGACTGGGAACCTGGAACTTGCCTCCTTACCTCTCTTCACTGTGACAAATCTGCTATCTCCTAGTCTTGTATACTCATTGTCAGCACCCTCTTGGCCCATTAAAACTAGGATTGGAGTTACTTTTTCATATTTTGGCAGAAAACATAATACGGTTCCTTCATTGAGTGTATCTGTATTGACCTGTTTTAATTGCTTTTATACTGTATTTCCGGTACTGGGCATTTCTGTTGAAAGACGGTATTGAACCCTTGAACCTCTTTTTGGCATATGACTGGCACCATCCTTTCTTGCATGGTTATACTGAAGCATTTGCTTTTATACTGTATTTCCATCTGGATAAGCGGTACTGGGCATTTCTGTTGAAAGAGGGTATTGAACCCTTGAACCTCTTTTGGCATATAACTTGCAACATCCTTTCTTGCATGGTTATACTGAAGCATTGTAGAAGTTGTAGTCTAAAGATTTTCTAGCTCCTGTTTAAAATACACTACTTCTTTCAAAGGTAAGTGTCATGAGAGGGGAAACAATGGGCCACAAATCCGTTTGTGTTCTTGTAAGGTTTGCATAATTTGCTGCAGTGAAGTATGAGCAGTTGGTGAGGTGCTGGAGTATATTTCCGTTGCATGCCCCAGTAACTCATCTATTAGTGGCAGCAAGTTGTGCAACCCTCTCATGAACAATAATAGAATTCCTGTCATTGTTTAGCAAGAAGAAGAAGGAAGAACCAGCATATAGAAGTGGAGCAGTTAATGAGTTATTGTCCACTGCATTATGATTTGTATGGCTAGTGGGAAAACATACACAACTGGGTTCTATAACTTCTAAATCATCTAGTCCAGTGGTTCTTAACCTTTGTTACTCGGATGCTTTTGAACTGCAGCTCGCAGAAACCCCAGTCAGCACAGCTGGTGGTGAAGGCTTCTGGGAGTTGCAGTCCAAAACTCCTGAGTAACCCAAGGTTAAGAACCAGTGATCTAGTCCACTGCAGCCATGTGTTATGTTCACCAGTTGAGTGTACTGGACAGCCCCATCCTTCCACAATCAAACAAAAGCAGGATGTGTACTGAAGTTCATGTGTCGTTGCTATATATGGTGGGAGGTCAGCATTTGATGCTGAGGGCTTCACTTTCAGTAGGCCTGTGCCCTTGAACTAATGGAAAGCTAAATAGTGTCCACCTTAAGGAGGTGGCAGTTCCAAGATGCAGACGTAAGTAAGATGGATGGGAACGAAGTAATATAAACAGCAGTTTTCCTGAAGTTCTGATTGTAGACACTGCAGTCCTAGGCATGTTACATTGAAAGGAAATCCATCTATATTTAATTGATTTTTCCAATTGCAGTTCCAATTATTTTTTTAATTAGTGAGAAATTTTGGCTATTGGAAAAGCTCATGGGTTGGGGAAAATATTATTTCTGCCTAACACAGTATTTATTTAATACAGACAACAGTACTGTAAAATGAATTGGCAGACTTTTTGATACCTTCTGATCTGGGGAGAGTTATGTGTCATATGTTATCTTTGTGACAGCTACAGAGATGGTGTGCTGAAGATTCTTCCTTGGAATGAGCAGAAACATAGGGAAGAAGACTGGTGTGAGAGGCCACCATGCAGGTAGGTGATTTGTGCAGGCATATATCCATAAGAATTCAGCTGAGTGCATATCTTGGTGAGTTATGATATGGCACCTCAGTTTTGGTCTCTGAGGAGAAATCCTTCATGTACAGGACTCTCCTTGTCCTCTTGCAGAAAAATGAGCACATGCTATGTGTGGGAGAACATTTTTCTTCTTTCTGGACAGAACAGGAAGCCACAAAATGTGAAGTGCTCCACCCATGTGGTAAATTATGAACTGCTGAGCATGCCAAATATGAAGAAAGTGGTATAAATGCACAAAGGAAATCATTACATACGTAGTTCTCTAGAGCAGACTTTCCTAGATTTGGGCTTTACAAGAACTAGAAGTGGTGTTTACTTAGGAAGCTACTGTATTTGGCTTGAGCCAGAGGATTTGGTTGTGGTGAGGTTAGGAGCTCGAGTAGATGAGAGCTTTCCATTGCTTGCATGACTACGAAGGAAATCAGCCATGCAGCCATCCAGTCTCCACACTCTTCTTTCCAAATCTGAATGGGCTGAGTGTGTTTAAAAAGCCTTTTCTGCACGTTAATTCCTGCAATACTTTTTTTTTATTTTACAAAACTTTTCGTGATTAAATAGATGAATGTATTCGTTTAAAGCACTGTAAGAAAATTTATATATATGTAAACGCCGGTTGATCCACCAATAACGTTAGTTAATCAGGAATACAGTAGATGGGATCTGGGGTAGGCATAATTCAATTCTCTGTGTATCGAAGTGTTAAAATATCTTATCCTGCTAAAGTATGAGTGTGAACTTTTCTTCCTAGGGCTGTTTTTAAAAGTTACTCAGAAGGAAACTATGTATCGTTTAATTTAATTCCTAGAAGACAAGCAGCCTGAATGAGCCGACTTCAAATGTTAATCTGCTTTGAGCTAACATTGTTTCATATCAGAAAAAGCTCTATTTCCTTTTGTTTGTTTGTTTTTTGAAAAAACAACAACAACTTTGTACCCATCAGCTGCAGGCACGTCCATTTTGCACCTTCTCACTGATCTATATGGGCTCTAGTTCAATACGTTTAATCTATTTTCATTATAACTGCTAACTTTACACAAAGTCATTTCACAGGGACAATTTTCTACATTTTACCGCTTGTTATCTGTTACGCTCAGGCTGATTGTTGAGCCGGCTCTTCAGGATGAAGGTGACTTTTTATATGACTCTCAGCCGGAATGGTTGAAGTACAGAACTGTGGACCCTCCAATAAATCTGATCACTGACTGGTACTGGAAGAGAGCAGAGGAGATAGAAAACTACTCTATGCAGGTAAATGTGAGATTCCAGATTTAACATATATTTATATTGTCATCTTCCCAAATAGTCATTTTTCATATAGCTAAAAACCATTGGTGTTCATGCTCAGTGTGTAGGCACTTTGCTCCTGTTTCTATCATAGTTCTCTTTTTGGTTCCCTCTGAAGTGGGTGGGTAGTATATCAAGCAGTTTTCTTTCCGCTGATGTCTCTAGTCAGGTTGGGCTACAGCCAGCACTATCTTCAGCCAGTCTCACGAGTGACTGCAGTGACATGGAATGATAAGACTTATCGTTCAACGCACCTGGAGAGAACCAGATTGGGGAATGTCACATTCTAGCCCTATTCAGGTATTCACCTGAACACAAATATGGCCTCAATCACAGAATAATAAAATGACTGAAGATGCCAGCCCTATCCATATATTTATATGATGATGGACAGGCTTTACAGTGGGGGGCGGTGGGGTGGGGGGCATGTGGATGTAAGCTCTGCTTCTGAATAGCACCATGCCCTGCAGTGTCATACACCTTTGTGTGCTGAGCACAAAGGACTGCAGAGGGTGGTGTAAATAGTGTTCAGCTAAACACGGCTGCAGAGCTCCTTGGATTGGGGACCTAGACTTCTCAGGATCCCTGATCCTGGGGTCTTTGCAAATGGATTCTGCTGAGCCCAGTTGCAGAGCCCCGTGTGGACTTTCCATCTCAGTGGGAGAAGGTCTCTGTACAGTTGTGTTGGGAGGCACTGACTGCATGCATGCACACATCCACATCCCTACTCTTTGAGCTCTGTCAGTGCTCAAACAAATGCCGGAATAGAGATGATGTCTTTCTACGTCCTGTGGCCTTAAAAGTCTTCACATTTATTATAGTGTCCGGTCACTCATCAGCATCAAGATATGGGATCTCCTTGTCTGAGATAGAATATCAAATGGCGGTGCGCAAAATAAGTCATAAATTGAAAATAAAGCTTTCTGCTATAAAATAGTAGAAGTTAGCAAGTAGATGATACAAGTTATTGCTGACTACTTCCTTTTTCTAGGGGTTCAACTGTGAAGGTGTTACAAGAGATAAGTGCCATATTGAGAACATGGGGAAAGCTAGAGTGGCATTGGATCAGAAGTACTGTATGATTAGACAGAATGAAGAACCACTTCAGGTCACAGATACTGGTGGAGTATCAATAACAGTCAGGGAACTGTTCCCTCAAAATTTTAGCCCTGCTGGGTGGGGCTCTGCACCTCTCACGCATGACTCCACCCCCACCTCACCTCCCCACACAGGGTTCTGCCACAACAGAACCAAAGGGGCTGGAAACACTTGTTGTGGGTTCTCTGCAGTGGAGAGTGGAGCTGCGCACACTCGCGCAACTGTGCAGCTTAGAGAGAACCTTTTCCCTGACCATTCTACTTTTCCTGGAGAAGATACCTTTGGGTGCCATTCCACCTACCTCCACAAGGAGGGCCTGTTGCCCTCAGAGAAGGTGGAAGGTCTGTCATCCATCTGCTGACCCATCAATTGGGAGTCAAGCCAACTCTTCAACTTACGACCAGAAGATGGACGTAACTCAGAATGGTCGTAAGTCAAAGCACCATTTCCCATAGGAATGCATTGAAATGCAATTAATCCATTCCGGACGGGGGGAAAATCACACACAAAAAATCACTGCAAGACTCATTGGAAATGCGATTATTAATTAATTAATTAATTTATTATTCAATTTATACCCCGTCCCTCTAGACAGAGTCTACTTGGGGCGGCTTACAAAGAAGAATAAAAAATTATAAAATACAATAAAAATCATCAAATATATGTAAATCAATCACCTAATTATATCACTAAATTAGAAGATCAAGATGGGGAAAAAAGCTAAAGAAAAAAGAAAATCAGGTGTTGAAGAGCCAGGTCTTTAAATGACTCTTAAAAACACCCAGCGAGGATTAATCTCTTCCAGCCGAAAGGGGGGGGGCAAAGAAAAGCAATCAAGCATGCAAGACCCATTGGAAATGCACAGAAAACAAACAGAGCAGATCGGAAATGCACAGAGAACAAGGGGGCAGGTCAGAAATGCAAAGAAAGCAAAGGAAAAAGCAAGGGAACCGTGCAGGACCCATTGGAAATGGGGAACCCCCCTAAAAAAGCAACCAACCCCCCAAGACCCATCAGAAATTGGGGGAAAGCCAACAAACAAACAAACCCCCAAGACCCATCGGAAATGGGGGGAAACCAAAAAATAACCCCCCCCAGACCCATTAGAGAACAGAAACATAAGCCCCCCAGCTCAAAACCATGCTGCAAAAACACTCAGAACAGTTTTTAAAAGCAGAAAACAGCACCTTACCTTACTAGGCAGCCTGAAGCCTCCCTGCAAATATGCACACATGCTCACTCAGAAGCAGAAGTGACGCAGTCCCAAGCCTCCTCCGAAGCACTCTCTCTAAATGCTAGGGTGAAAGAACTACAAAGAAGCAGCCTCGTTGCCACCTACAGTTAGAAATTTTAATTTCCCGCCTTTTCCCCCTACCTTTTTCTGTTTGTAAGTGGAAGCTCTGGTTGCAAGTAGAAGCAAGATTTTGTGGCCAGAGCTGGTCGTAACTCGAAATGGTCATAAGTAGGGACGTTCATACGTCAAGGCACCATTATATGTGGACTGAGAGAGGAAGAGCGGTTTTATCCGCAAACATTTGGAGACAGCCTTGGCATAGATTTTATAGGCATATTTCCAGGCATACTCCCAGCAGTGTGGGGATGGAACATCACTGTGAATTGAAATTGATCCAGACCACTCATCTCCTTTATCTCCCCCCTTACCAGTCTCTTTGTTCTATTTTGATGTGCTGTTCTCTTGTTATGGCTGTTTATTGTCTGGACAGAAGCTAAAAAGCAAACCCTAATAAAATCAGTAATATATAGGGTAAGGGAGTAAAAGAGAAGTTGTGAACTATGAATGAAAAAAATAGAAAACAAGAGAAAAAGACAATGGTTTTCTATCATGGTGATGGTTTTATGTTTTGGGATAGGAAATGGGAGGACTGAAGGGAAGAGTTAAGAGAACTGTGGCAATTCACAAGGTTTGTTGTGAGAGAATAATGAGAAAGGGAAGAATGAACTCTCCAACATGACTTCCCAGCAGGTGGACAGACATTGTTAAGATTTTTTCATGTCTTGGTTAGGCAGTCTAAATGCCTGCATCTGTATTATATACAATTTGCCGAGAAACATAACAACAATATATGGGTAAATTATCTTGGTCTTTGAGTCAGACTTCATAATTTTCAGATGTGAAACTTGACTTCAGCTGCCATGCTAAAATTCCTTGTGATACCTTGATCAATCACATTTAAAGCCATCTTAAAGTGTGATTAGACAGTGGAAAAAATCCACCTGGATCTGCTGTGAATTCACACCCAGGAATTTGGGTTTTCTCAGGTGAATTCACTTTAGCTGTCCACCTGGGCATCAGCACGGAGAGAGAGAGGAGGAAATTAGCCTTGTTTGCAGCTTGTTAAGGTAGCTTTTTTGTGGCTGTCCACATTGGCAGGAGGCATGGCTACAGTAGAGCTACCTAAAGAAGTGCTAATTAGCATTTGTCTTCCTCTGTTTCTGCTGACTCCTTGCTCTTTGTTTTCCCCTTTGGCCTCTTAGGTGCCCTAATACAACAGCATAAAGCCTTTCAAAAATGGGGAAGTGGATCAGGAAGAAAGAGGAAAAGCAGCAATTTGAAGGAAAATGGCATTTCATTATGAACAGGGCTAAAACTCTCCCTTTAAAAACGGAACCAGAGCCGTTTTAAAACCTCTGCTCTCTCTTTGCTAATTTAAGAATTGCTTCCTGTTCAAAGCTTTAAATTCTGATGGTGCTCAGCCGTATTGGTAATAGCAGTATTAAGGCAGGGTCCTGAGCAATGCAGCTTTGGCCGCCTTACCTCTTCCCCCCTCCCAACATTTTCCACGAAGAACTTGTTTTAAAATGCATCACACTCTTTGTCCACAAACACACTCCCTTTAATCAATATTTGACAAGAGCAGATCCTTTCTGCATCGGCACAAGCGATCACACCCCCCTGAATCGATGCAGATGCCTTCAGAGGCTAAGATGCTAATGAACCTTAGCAAAAGCAAAACTGTTCATGATTTGACCCACTGGTTGAAATGGCTCGTTCTCTCCAAATAGGTGGATTGTGCTCTGTCTCTGGTTCGCCTTGGCATGGAGAGGAACATCCCTGGTCTTCATTCTCTCTGTGATAATCTGGTTACACTGGAGACCCTAGTTTATGAGACTGGATGTGACGTCACTCTGAGTTTGAAGGAGCTACAGCAGATGAAAGACTCTGAGAAGCTGAAGCTGCTAATGTCAAACGTATGTGCTGGTTTCTGTGTTGGATTGGGAAGGGGGTGTTTCTGCCACGAAATGAAACGTTACGGAGGAAGAAATCCTGTGATTATTGAACCTCATGAGCTCTTCCATATGTTCTAGAAAATGGCTGAATGATTTTGTGGGGATTTCTGGGGATGAAAATGTAAGAACAGTGTTCCATATCAGAATTTTTTCTCTCTCATCACTGTCTTCTCTATGTGTGAGTAGCATCGAGGCCACTTCCACACGGCTGTTCCTGACACTGTTCATACATTCTCTGTAAAAAGTAAAAGTTCTATGGTTCAATTGTGGTGTGATTACTTCTCACACCAACAGTGTGGTGTTGGCTCGCCTCTGCTGCAAAGTGACTGCAGTAGAATTGTGTATATAGCTCTGCTTTATGTTTATTCTTCTGTGCACAGATGTAGAAATACTATTTTACTACTGCATATTTGTTCAGGTTTTACAAAGAAATTAGCATCCTCACAGTTTGCATCTACAACGGCGACCTTGCTAAAAGCATTTGGAGGTCAGCAAAACAATTTACGATCATATCTCCTAAAATCATGATGCTAAATTACACTTGTGGAAGGCAAACAGCATAACTTTCAGTTGATTCTAGCTGACAAATTGCAAACTGCTTGCTGGGATTCTCAGGGATGTGTGGGCCTGCTGAATTGGCGCATGCTTGGGAATCCCAGCAGAAACTCATTAATTATCAGCTAGGAGTGAGTGAATGTTATGCTTTTGACCTTCCGCATGCGTTAAGTAAACAACTGGATTTCAGCCATGGTCTTAGATTTGTTTCTCACTGTAGCCACTTTACAACTTTTTAAAATTTAGCTGTGCTCTTAAAGGGTGTTAATCTTTCTTTGATTTATAACCACTGCTGTTCAGTCAACAGAAGAGAAGTATGTGAAAGATGCTTACCAGTGGATGGTCCCATTTCTACATCGCTGTGAAAACGAGTCTCCTGGCGCTGCTAATAAACTTTTGAAAGAATATTTGGTAACTCTGGCAAAAGAAGATCTAACGTTTCCTCTGAAAATCTTTGAGCATTCAAAGCCAGCAGTAAGTTCAGATTATTATTTGTGGATTTATGCGCCGCCTGAACGCTTTGCTCCCCATCCCATTTTGTATTGTTTAGCACCCTTTAATAGTGTACCTTGTTTCACTGATCCGTTTTGGAGATAGCTGCCAATTGTACCGCTTTTCTCAGCTCAACATTTGTCTCTTCAGTACAAAGCCATGTTCTCTAAACAAGGTTAAAATGGAATTTCTCATACGCTGCTAATCTTTATCAGGATGTCAGAATACACCTTTAACCATTAATCATTTTAAACTTAACCAGCAGAGAAGGTAATTTTAGCACAAGGGGTCTCTCTTCTTCTTGTCACTTCGATGCTATTCTTTTGTGCAGTTCTGTCATTGTCTTTAAAAAGCCTTTGCCGCACTTCACAACTTGACAGAGCGCAGTTTAGTCTTTTATATTTTGGTCTGCACTGTTTTGCCACTGCTAAGCTTTCCTCTCCTTCGGATAGGGCAGGGCTCTCTCTTGAGGACATTTGAGATGTCTCTGGCCTCGCTATGAAGATTTGCCCCATAAGCTTCGGGGTTTTCCAATCAAGGAGTTGTTACTGTTTCTATACCTGAAAGGAAACATTAGGTACCATCTGTAGCCTTAATCAGAGTGACCAGAAGCTGGTTCAGATGCAATAGGTTTGAAATGCTTTCAAGGTATTTTCAGCCATGAGTTTTGGGTGGATCTTGAGGGGAACCAACTTCTATTGGCATCAGAGAGAGAGATGAAGAAGGAATTACCAAAATAAAAATCGCTCCCCCTACTTCCTCTGAAAGATGCTTTCTGTCAGTGGAAAGATACCTGTCGGATACCATTTGGTGCTATGGGATAGCACCAAGATTGCCATTTTCTGGGCTCATGCCTGTGAAACAGAGGGGACAGAAAATAGTGGGGAATTCTATGCCTATTTATGTAGGAGCAAGCACTGTTGAATTCTGGGTGCCTTATGAGACTGTAGAGCTCTGCACCGTCAGTCTGTGTGAAATTATTGAAATGTGAAAGTTATTGAAATGCGAAATGCAGAAATAGAGGAAAGGAAGGCGCTTTTGTAAGAAGGATTAATGTGGTCTTTACAAACATTTGTAGTCATTTTCATCTTCTTGAAGCCTTGCTTTGTAGCTGCAGACCCAGAATAAATCCACATTCCTGCATCTTAAGTGGCACCTCAGAAAGATGTTCATTAATTCCTTGCTTTCTTTGTGGCTATGGACTGGAGTGGCTTGGCTGTAAACAGGTCAAAAGAAATGAGCACTTGAAAGCATACAGAAGCTATTTATGGGCAGATCAAGGAAATCATACAATGTAGCCAAGCTTAAAAGCTTTAGAATTACAAATATTTTAATTTCAATAAATTGCCTGATGGAAAATATTGTTATGGGATTTTTTTTTAATGAGACTGGAAATAACTTGCTATTCCAAATAGCTGCTGTGCCCGCTGGTTACCAATGAGCTTCTTTTGCAGGTTCTGTAGTTCTAAAAGATATTTAATTGAGAATTATTAGAAAACCAGGAAAGCCTCTGTAATTAACAAAAATAACTAAATTGGCTTTACGGTTGTAATTGTGTTGCTTGATTCAGTTGGCTGTTGCACAGAGATATCAAAGAAGCAAATTGCAAATTGAGAAAATGTTGTAGTACACAAACAGCAATGGATGTGGCCTTTTCCTTTCCTCCTAGTGTCAGCAAAAGATAATTTCAGATCAAGACCTGTTGATGATGATTGCATTGGAGTGCATCTATAGCTGCAAACGTGATAACCAGCTGTCTCTGTGTTATGATATTTTAGAATGCCTCCCCCAGAGAGGTTATGGGTGAGTATTGTCACATACAAAACCTCTGCTGTGGAAATAATTTTTTTTTAAAAAATGGAGCTGTCTCAATTGATGGCTTAGTCTGTTGAAAGCCTAAAAGATTCTAAGGTCTTCAAAACAATATATGACACTTATCTGATGAATAATGTTATTAGGTATAGTAATGGTTAGTGGATACAGAAGATCAGTCAGATGGAAGCTGTGTCTTAATCACCCCTGTTGTTGCAGAAAGCCTCCTTAGTGCATTAGATTGCTGCTCTAGCAAAGATGGTTACAGGTGTCTATTCACCCTCAGTCCTGTGACAAAGACCCAAAGACATAGCCAAGGATTTTATATAGTCCTCTGTCCTTCCAGACGTGTCCAGAATCCAAGAAGGCTGCAGCAAAAAGGGAAGGGATGGGCAGGAGAGAGGCCACCTTTGTTCCTAGCCAGTGTGTTGAAAATGCTTGCATTTCATTAAACTGATATGCTCAGCAGGTGAAGAGTTCATTGTCACCAGCAGGTTGCTTGTGAAGTTCTAAACTACTGTATAATAAAACCAGGAATATAACCCTTTCGTATCCAATACTGGCTGTGACACAATGGCGGAAATCCTGAAATCCTACTCCTAAGTTCCGCTAGAGTAAGCCTATTGAATCAGCGGGAATTTGGTGAGTCAACTCTTCTCTAAGTTCCATTTATTCAGATGGTCCTACTCCAGTTGTAACTTAGTTTGGTATAGCTTAGAATCAATGGCACTTATGCAGGAGTTGACTCCTCAAATCCCCACTAATTCAATAGGCCTCCTCTTACTATGCTGAGCAATAGGATTTCAACCATTGTACACAGACAATCCATATGTTTTGATTCTTCATGCCAATTTCTACTGTCTATGCAATCATCCTAGAAGCTAATAAAAAATCTGCTATAGATAACTGTCTTGAATTATAGTGTCCCTATCCACAATGGCGTGGATAAGAGTTTATTTGTGCAATCAACAGAAATTAACAGCAAAATCTTTTTCTGGACCGACACATTTAAGCGTGCAGGTTGCTAACCCCTTTGTTACATTTTAAACACAAAACTATAACCAAAGCAAACAAATAGCAGAGAAGAACCTTTTTAAAAAAGTCACAAAAGACAAAACAAGCACATATATAAAACTGAAATCTAGTTATTGACAGAGATGCATTTTTTTTTCAATTTACCTTGCCATTACAAAATATAACAGGAATTCATTCACGGCCTGGAGATTTTCTTTATATTTCTCTGTATTACAATTTGCAATTTACAGTTTTCATAGGTCCAAGGAAGGGCTTTGACAGATATTGAGTACCTCTTTGATTTGTATTTAAAATAAAATACCGGTAATGCCTTGTTTCATATAAATTGATACTTCGGTTTTACTTTTGCCTACTTTAAGCTGATGTGCCAGTTTTTCTGCCATGACAGTTTGCCAGTTCTAAGTACCGGGAGTTTAATATTAAGAGTGCTGTGGTATTCTAACATCCAGGAATGCCACTTTTTTAATTTTGTCCCTCTGCTCCAAATTGTTAATAAAGTTAATAATGCTGTAGCATGGATAATTTGATGTATAACATTTGCCATATCTGTAAATATTTGTTTTACAAAAATGTAACACTACAGGACATGACCACGACATGCGCCTTGCGGGTTAGAATTTCTCCAACATTTTGTCCTGCTTGTTGCTGACCCTTCAAGACGTACTAGCACAATGTACCATTGGTATAATCGTTTTATGGAGATTTCCCTGGGAATTGTTGATACAGTTTTCCATCCAGAGCTTGCTCCATATGTTCTATTTTTATCCCAGTATCATCTTCCCAGATGGCTTTCAATCCAATTGAATTATTTGTATCTCTTTCAGTTGAATGTGATCACATATATTTGTTTCTTTGTTTGTTTAAATGAAATGAAATGTGAATGCATTTTAGAAACTTACCTTTTTGTATTATTTATCAATTCCATTAGGATACATACAAATGTTTGTCATATTTCCAGTCATACTTTGTTTTACTGTGGAATTAATAGTTAGGTAGTGTCATTGATGGGAAAGAGTTCAGTTCATTTACACCCCCTGAATTTTTCCTTTTAATTGCACTACAGTAAAGGGGACATCATTTTCATAAAGATCTCTCGCTCTGTGAGTCCCCTTTTCTTTCCATTTAATATATTGTTCTACCTTATCTACATAAGAAATGGATGTAGTGTAAAATAGAGGCAACGGGGATATTTCTGGAATTAATTAATTTTTCCATTTGTTTCAAATGTTTAATGTAGCCTGTAACACGTATAGTCTACCCATTTTATATCTCTTATTTGCTGGTTGCTTACTTTAAGTTGGAAAAAAAGCACCCTACTCTTGTATCAATGCCCATGGATTGGTATACCGCCCATGAGTCGGGGAGAGACGTCCTATTAGGAGAAGGCCATGTGGGAAGGGCCTTAGCTCAGTGGCAGAGCACATTTTCTGTGTGTAGAATTGCACAGGATCACTCTCTGAGAGAGCGACTGGGGCTGAGAAGCCCCCATTGTCTGAAGCTCAGGAGAATTCCTGGCAATCAGTGTAGACAGTAAGACGCTAGATGGGCCAATAGTCTGACTATTATGTTTTCAGCCCCAGAAATCTAGTCCCCACCCCCACCTTCCACAGGTAGGACACTTGGGTCATGGAAGGGGAAGGTGTCTCATCTCCATTCCCTGTAGGTACTAGTCAAGGGAAGGCATGTGGTATCCTAACAAGCACTATCACACTGAATGGTATTTTTGGAGGTGTTCTCAGTGTATGTGTATTTGTGTGTGTGTGTGTGTGTGTGTGTGTGTGTGAAAAGACGGACATTTTTAGGGATACAATTGCATTTCCTAATTGTGACTCCTTTTCTTTCATAATATGTGCAAATGTTTTTCATCCTTTCCAGTCCTGAAACAGACATTACAAACAGTCTTCATGATAAAGTTGATGAACTGGAACAAATTCTTAGGTGAGACGCTTCTCCCCCCACCCCCACCCACCCCATTCATTTCTCACAATATGTTTCCTTTTATTAGCACTGTATTATATTTTACAGTTCAAGATGTCAGGATTATTATTATGAAAGAGGGCCTATAGGTCAAGTATTACTTTGAGCTGAGTGGAAATTACATTCTAGACCTTGGCCTTTCATAAACAGAAGTTCATGTCCTGAGGTTTTTCTTCCATGTGGGAATGTGAAGGCTAATATCATGTTGTGGCAATATAGTTAAAGGAGAGAGGAAGAAATAAGACCCCATGCCTTTTTAAAAAGGCTTAAGTATATAGGCTGCTGTTTATAACTCTTTTCTTTCAATCATTTACTACAGAGTTTTGAAAACATTGCAGATTTTGTAGAGTTTAAATGGTATACAGATGAAATGGCTTCTTGGTGGTTTGATTATATATGATGAATAGAATGAAATATTATATATACAATTGTGTTTTGTTTAATTTGACACTAATTATTGGGCAAGTGTAGTTGATCTCTCCATATTAATGTAGAGTCATTTTGCAGGGGAGAAGGATTGGATCTCAAGGAGCAGCTACACAGCAGGAAAAAAAGCAAAATGATCCGCAGTGAAGTCACACCCAGCACGTTGGGTTTCCCCAGATGAATTTGTTTTAGCATACCATTTAGGAGTCAGCAGAGAGAGCTGAGGAAATGGCCAATCTGAACTTGTTAGCAGCTTGTTAAGGTGGCTCTATTGCACCTGTCTAGATTTTTAGAAGGCACTGCTACAGTAGAGCTGCCTTAACAAGCTGCAGGCAAATACTGGCTGCCCATTTCCTCCTCTGTGCTGATTTACCTGTTGTTCCCCCCACACACTTTGGTCTCCAGCTGCTCTAGCATACCAGCAGTGACACTGAGCCTTTGGAAAAAAATAGATTTAGGGACAAAGGGCATCTCAATTGAACTGATACCTCCACATGCTATACTTTAAACTAGGAAGCTGGGAGCCAGCTTCTGATCGCCCATTGCTTTGGCTCAAGCGATAATACAGTCTGAACCAATGTGAATGCATTTGATTCTAAAAACGTAGAAGCCTCAGCAGCAGAAGAAGAAATTAGAGATGCAGGGTGCTCTGGGCTGATTGACATTGACTTGTAAATAACGTAGTCAACAGATAGTAATGCAAATCAAACCACCCTAGCCCAGTCCTAACAAAAAAAAATTAGTACAGTACAAGAACAGGGGAGGGGGATAAGCTGAAAAAGCCTCCTGTGCCCTCTAATGGTCAAAATCAGTACGCCCTCTAGGGATGTTACTCCCCACCTCACCCACAAGGGGACTTTTTGAATAATTTTTCCCCATTTTTTTTAAAAAATTAAGCATTGTGGTCTGATGTGAGGGCTAGAATGATTGGGTCCCTGGGGACCACATGCAGTCTGGATTTTTCCCACTGCTTCTTTAAACAATCCTAGTTACAGAACAATAGTATTCAAAACTATATTCATGCTCAGAAGAAAATAAGTGCCATGTGCTATTTTTTATGTCAGCTGTAGCAGAGGGCTGCAGAGTTGTGTTTTAGGACTACAGCTCCCGTAATATCCCAGACAGAAATCTGGGAGTTGCGGTCCAAATTTGCATACCTCCAGTTTGTGGAAGACTTGGTTCGCTAGTGGAACAGACTTCTTAACTACTAACTTCTTTTGCAAAACAGAAGTCTCACTGCTCTGTGTCTCTGACCCCCCCTCCCAACACAGCCTCATTTCCACAAGTGGAGAAGCAAAATTGTGTAGGTTGGTGTGAATGGCAGAACGTTTCCTTTATCCTTTATTTCTTCTTGTATAACCTATTTGCATTTTGGTTATTAATATATTTACTTTTCTTGTAACCTGCTCAAACTTTCCAGGGTTGCAGGTTGTATCAATTCAAATAAATGTAATCCTGAAGGTCGCTCACCCTTGTAGAGAACCCTGCATTTTATTTTGTGTCTTGAAAAGATTAGATTCTCATGGCTCTGTTGGTGGTGGAACTGGGCTGATGACAGTGGACTGATTTAGATTTTGGTTGGATGCTACATAATGCTCATAATAATTATTGCAGTGTATCAGAATTTCTGGAGAAGCATGGACTTCCGAAACCCGTAACCTTTGTAAAAGAGACACAAAACAGCCCAGAAGAAGCACAGAAGCTGATGATAAGATTGACAAGACATACAGGTCGCAAGTGAGTAACAAGCAGTGGCTGTCTGGAGTGAATGGGAACAAACATATTTATTTTCCAAGCAGTTACTTGTGTGTGTGTGCATGCGTGCGTGCGCGTGCGTGTATGCGTGTGTGTAAGTTGTAGTCCCAACAATATATGAAGGGGGACCACCGATCTTCCCTCTGTGACTTAACAGCAAAAATTTTTTGGAGACATTAAAGCAAATTGTGCTGCTTATATACTGCTCCACAGTGCTTAAAATACGCTTCTGGGTGGTTTACCATTTAATTATGCAGGCTACACTTTGCCCCCCCCCATGAGCTGGGTACTTAATTTACTGACCTTGGAAGGATGGAAGGCTGAGTCAACCTGGAGCTGACTACCCGAGCCCAGGATTAAATTCAGGTTGTGAGCAGAGTCTTCACTGCAGTAGTGCAGTTTAACCGCTGCATCACGAGGCTCCATCAGGTTAGTCTACATGGCTTAAATGCTGATAAGGCTTCCTGTAAAATTATGGTACACATGTTTAGATGTGCGTCACTACACACCTTAGCAGGTGACATATTGTACATAATTTTAAGTGGGGCCAAAGCCTGAGCAACTGGGTATGTTTTCTTAAACAGAGTTACAAACAGAGCTCTGGGGGATTGGTTTCTGAGTAAAAAATGATTTTGTTTTCCTGATGCCTCTTTAGCACCTTGCTGCTTAGAAGCTAGCTGATTTGATTGCTCTCCAAGAAATGCACCCAAGAGAGATGATATAATCTATAGAAAGTTTCGGGCTTGGGAACGGTGGTCTGCAGAAATAAATGGTGTGTGTGTGTGTAAGATGCCAGAAAGGGAAAAAGAGAAGAAAGTCATATGGGTGAGAGGCAGCACAACACAAGCAGTGATGAGCAAGTGGGATTTTGTGGCGCAGGGCAATGTAGTGAATGGCAAAGACTGGAAATGCCCTAGAGCATTTTATGCTCCATGTTGCACATAATACTCTGGATCATATAAGAAATGAAATGGGGAAACTGAGCTCAGACCTTCTCTCCTCCCCCTCCACTGGTTCTGCAGTTTACAGATAAGGCCGTAGTTTTCAAGGACTACTTGACCAAGTGGTGAAAGCCAGATGTAAGCATCTTCCCATTCAGAGTGCGAGCCATATGTTAGAACCATGATCTCAGATTTGGTGCCTAGGAGCTATTGGTCTGACCTTAAAATATCAATGGTCAAGAGTCAGGCTACTGTGTAAGTAGCTAGATTAGGCACCAGCTCTTTGTCCCTGGATGAAATCTCCCATCCACTGTGAACTCACTGACCAGATGTCCACTTCAGCCCCTTATCTGGTGGCTTATCTTATGAGAATGATGTGCGGATTGCTAAGATATTAAATATAAATCACTGCATAATGGTATGTGAATATCTGTATAATATTTATTTATAGCATTTAGCATGAATGTTGTTGCTGTAGGCATGAATGTGTTCCTACCATGGGGCTGATGTTTCTGTGGCTTTTGAGATGAAGTTTATGTTTTCAGTTTTCACGCTTTCATTTGGGAATGATTTGTTTGTAAACTTAAAAATTTTTTTATCTCTTAAAAGGCAGCCTCCTGTTAATGAAGCACACTGGATGGGATTGTTGCAAGATATGCTGGAAATGCAGCAGAATGTCTACACATGCTTAGAACGAGATACTTGCTATGAGGTGATCCCCCCTTTTTTCAGTATGTGGAAATATATTGCATAGCTGTGGTTTGTTAGCCTGTAGTTCTAATGTGTGCACAGTTCAGTTCATTCTGGGCTTGTGATGATGAATATACTTTTACAGTTTAGGATATGCATGCACTGTTGGTGGCTAGAGTCCTATTGATGTTCACATAAACTTTGTGTAACTTGCTGTAGCTAATTGCAGCTAATTGTTGAGGTGCCTGGTCACATGCCCAAGATGCAGTCTGGCACCTGATCAGTTAGCCTCAATAGGCAGCAGCAAGTTCCACAGACTCTGTGTGAATACCAGTAGGATTCCATCTGGTGTATATTCCTGAGCATTCAGAAGATAGTGCTGGGATTTTTCTTTGGCTGTTACGTAATGAACTGTTTCAGGAGAGTGTACATTCTCAGGATTTATGTAGTTAAAAATGTAAGGAAATCCTCCTCCGGAGGACCTTCCTCATCCTCCTGAAAGGGCTCATCATCATCTGGACAGGGGTTGAGGTCAGATGGGAAATCCACTCTAGGGAAGAGGGACTTTTGGCTGCCATTTTCTCCTCTGATAAGCCACAGCCAAGAAAGGGGCTACACCTTATTAACACCCAGAGTAACTGGGCCTTGAGATAGGTCAATATTCAAACATCTTGAATCGTTGAGTTCCAGGCAGGGAGCAAAAACTGACAGAACCTCTTCTGGTCTCTTTCCCTAGCCAGGCTGAAGTTGTCCTGGCAGCAGACTAAGCAGGGGAAGGTGTGTGTGTGTGGTGGTTGGGGAGCAATGGAGCGGGCTCAGGTGGTTGCAGTCTGTGTTGAGATAATTCATATGAGAGAGAGAGAGAGAGAGAGAGAGGAGGTAGGGGAGGGCCCTGGGGCTCCTCTTCCATTCCCTGCTCCTTCAGCCAGGCCCTGCATTATGTCTGCATCACAGACCATGTCAGACTTGCATCCTCTCCCTCTGCCTCTGCATGTCAGGGACCATCCCTGCACTGCAGATTTTGCATGGAGCCAGATATCACCATAAGGTTATTTCAGACCCATTGGAAAATGTTGCTTCCTATTTCCCCAGCAAGTGGCGGACAGGAGCAGTCCCGGTGGGACACAGGATTTTCATAAGAATTTCTGAGGATTCACTGTTGCTTGATCCCTCTGTGCTTCTGCAAGTGTGACATGTCCCCTCCTACCACTACCACTGCCACAAGTGTATTTGCCGGTGAACTTTTTGCATTCCAGTGGTGACTTTGGACTTCCACCATTTCTCCTAATCCTCTGTCCCTCCTGGTGGGATCAGAACAGGAAAGGATGAGAACTGCTAGCTTGCTAGAAGATTCTTGTGGATTAGATCTTAAGGGTCCTTTCAAAACCATGAAGCTGAAAGGGCTTTTTTGCCATGTAAAAAAGTAATTTGGCACCACTGAACTATGAAAAATACGAGACGCATAGATGGGAAACTTACATGTATCATATAGAAACCAAAATAAATTGCTAAGTAAACAGTGGCCTTGTTTAGATAAATGGCCTTTTGTATCTCCGTTAAGTTTATTAAATCGTTCACTGAGCAGAACCTGCTTTTAAGGATGTCACTCAAGGTACCTATAGCATTTTGATAGATGTTTTCCTGTTTGCATTTAAAGTGAAATGCAAAATTCAGTTTCCACAAAAAAATTGTACGTACAAAACAAAATTGCCATTAAGCTTTACGAGTTCCAATGAAACATTGCTTTTCTATTATGCACTATTTACTGGCGAACGCTCTTTATTCTGTTCTGTAGCATTGAAGCAGGCTTTTATGCATTAGCATTTTCGTCCAAAAATTGACATTTCTTAACATGTTCATGTTATTGCCAGGCTTATTATGATAGCTTGAAAACTTCACTCCTTATAGTTGCTAATTTCTAGGACTGTTAAGAGATTTTGAGAGCAAATTAGAGCACTTCTGAAATAATTATGATGAAATCAACATCTGGGATTTAAATTGAAAATTGTTGTTACTTCAAAACACACACACACATAAACACACACCTTAGAACATATTATGAAAAAGGCACTGCAGTTAAAGCTCTTATGAAAACAATAAAAATAACTAGAATTGGACATTAATGTCAGTGTGCTGTCGGTGCGTCTTGTAGAAATGTATGGACAATGTGATTTATATGCTTCTTCTGCTATGGCAGCTTCTTGGCTTGTCCATAACCCAGAAGCAGTTTTCATTTAGAATACTTCCAACATCCTGTTTGCAATCTCTCTGACGGTTTCTAGTCCTATACGATCCGCCTAAGGTAGTCAGATAAGGCAATGCAATGGCAGAGGTGTTTCCATTTCTCAGTTTCTCTTACCCTCCCTGTGTCGGCAATAGCCAAGGCTACTCTTCACAGCACAACTGCTTGGCTGCACCAGCCCGAGTGGCACCATTTGAGAAACTTAACCGTGCTGCAGTGGTAGCCCCACCAAAGGAAGGCCCACCAGAGTTACTGGGCAATTCTTTGCAACACACATGGTTTTCACAACCACCTGGTAGTAGGAGGGGCTGTGGCTCAGGGTTAGCATTTTGCTTCTGGTTGGTCCCAGGGCCCATCACTGGCAATTCCAGGCGAAGCTGGAAAAGAATCCTGCCTGAACCCCTGGGGACTAGGGTGTATCAATGCTCTAGGTAGCTCGTGCTTCTTTGGCATACATGTTAATGGAAAGTGTTTCTAGAGGTCAACCTAGAGTGGGGTCCGCAGCCTGGGGGTACACCTGGACCCGATGCTCACCATGGAAACGCAGGTGGCATCGGTAGTCCGCTCCGCCTTTTTCCACCTTTGGCGGATAGCCCGGCTGCGACCTTACCTAGACACGGGGGCGCTCACTACCTTAGTACATGCGCTCGTAATCTCTAGATTAGACTACTGTAACACGCTCGACATGGGGCTCCCTTTGAAGCTGATGCGGAAACTTCAGATGGTGCAGAATGCAGTGGCCAGACTCCTCAATGGAGTGAGAAAACACCAACATATCTCTCCTACTCTGGCCATGCTGCACTGGCTGCCCATCCGTTTCGCATTGACTTCAAAGTGTTAATGCTTACCTATAAGGCCCTAAACGGTTTAGGACCTCGATACTTGATGGAACGCCTGCTTCCACCTAGATCTACTCGGATCACCCGCATGAGCCAGGAGGTGAGGCTGAGGAGCCTGACGACGAGGGAGGCCCGGAAAGAAAGGACACGAACCCGGGCCTTCTCGACGGTGGCTCCTCACCTCTGGAACAATCTCCCTCCTGAGATCCGCGCGGCCCCCACTTTGGACACTTTTAAAAGTCAATTAAAAACATGGCTATACATTCAGGCCTTCCCTCCAGTTAATATCTGACTTTTCTTTATTCTCTCCTTATGTATTTTCTATTCTATTGTTGTATTCTGTTTATTACAATATGATTTATGTAATTGTGTGTTTTTTTTAATATTATTTCACTGTTTTTGCTATATTGGAAGCCGCCTAGAGTGGTCTTTTAGACCAGATGGGCAGGGTATAAATCAAATAAATAAATAAATAAATAAAAATAAAATAAACCTATGAGGCTGTTTCCCCCTTCAGATGATGATTTGTTAAGATCTGCTCATATCCATCTCTCTTGATCCAGGGGTTCCTAAAGATCAGTCCCCAGGTAATAGAAGACAACTCCCAGCAACGCTAGCCAGCATGGGCCGTGCGGAGGCCTTCTGGGAGCTCTGATTTAACAATACCTTCAGACACACCTTTGGGAACCACGGATCTACGCTTACCCAAAACTTGTCCCAAATACTATTAATTGGTGTTCAAATATATGAGATTGCTGGAAAGTTTTGTCTGCTTACTCATAGCTTGTTAAAAATGTTAAAAAATAGAAAAGCAAGCAAAGCCTCAGCTTTTTCTCTGTGAGGTGGCATCTTTCTTTACAATGTAACCTCCCCCCTCACAAACAACAACAACAACAACAAATTCCAGTGTAAAAATTGTTTCATTGTTCCTTCAGCTAGGAATTCAGGGTCTCTGTCTTTCATCCATTGTTTCACCTCTACCTGCTTTATATCACCATTTTTATAATGGTTGCCTTCCAAGTCCAGCCACATCTGTCAGACGAAGTGAAAGTTGCAAAATACGAGATCAGGGTTTTAGGAAGGACTAAGTTAAAATCAAATTTTTAGGGCTTGGCAGCAATACAGTGGTGCCTCGACTTATTAATGTCCCAACATACAACCATTTTGAGTTACAACAACAAAAAAAGGCTGGGAAAAAATGGCAGGGAATTCAAATTGCTAACTGTTGGTGGCGAAGAGGCTGCTTCTTTGTAGCTCTTTCGCCCCAGTGGTTAGAGAGTGTGCGATTGGAGGAGGCTTCGGGCTGCCTGGTAAGGCAAGGCGCTGCTTTCTGCTTTTTGAAAACTGTTCTGGGTGGGGTTTGCAGCATGGTTTTGGGCTGGGTGGTGGATTATGTTTCTGTGCTGTGATGGGTCTTGCAGGGTTTGTTGTTTTTTTGCCCCCCCATTTCCAATGGGTCTTGCAGGTTTTGTTTGCTTTTTGGGTCCCCCCCCCTCCATTTTTGATGGGTCTTGCGGGTTTTGTTTGCAAGACAAAGGGTACTATGAGGATTGTTTGCTTTTTGGGTCCCCCCCATTTCTGATGGGTTTTGTGAGGTTTGTTTGCTTTTTGGGTC